CGGTATGTAATATACACATGTAATGGCATTTATGTGTATGTATAATGAAGCATGTATTGTGCATGAATGGTATGTATGTTATATTAACATTGCTTATGTATATACTCATGTATACTACATGTATGTGAAATGGGTGATATAGTAGGCACTACTGATTAGTGCATGTATGTATGCGTTTTATGGTTCTTATGCGGTATTATTATGGCTTTAGTATACAAAGAAGACTCTATACATGTTGTATGTATCGTAATATAGAATTATGTAAGAGTTGTATCATGGGTATATTATTAGCATTAGCATGACTACATAGCATACATGTACAGTACCATTATTAAATCAAATGTACATACATTGCATTACATGTATGAATACAGATTTATCAATCACTGACATGGTTTATTAAAATAAACTAACATACCAATAGCACATTGCATACAATGTATAAATTACTATCATATATTGTATCACAGAGGCATGCAGTACTATACATTTATAAATACATTATATAACATTGCATTAACATCGTATATAAATACAAAAAACTATAATATTCATCTTTAAAAAATATGCTACAGTAATACATTAATTGGTATATGTAGATGTGAGTAAAGTTTAATATCGAAATACATATATGCATTACATGATATATAACATGCATACAGTTATACCAAAGTAATACATGTATATACATACATAACATGTATATACAGATACATACATGTAATATACATACATACCATGTAAATAATACATACAATACAATGTATATACAATATATAACAATGCATACATGCCATATACATACAATACATAACATGTATAATACATATACATAACATATCATATAATAATACATCACATACAATAGCAATGTCAATATACATACATACCATGCCATACACTGTCAAATATACATAACACATACATGCATCAATGTATACTACTACATACATGCCTTACAATGGTATACATAACATCATGTATAATACAATACATAACATGTATATACATACATACTGTATAATTACAATACATACATGTATATACATACATAATGTATATACATAATATACATGTATATTACATATATACATAAACATACATGTATACTACATAATACATATCATACATGTATATAACATAAATACGATACATACATGTTAATATCTATAACATACATTGCATACAATGTAATGACATATATAACAGTACATGCATATGTACATACATACATACAACGCCATACATGTATATACATACATAATGTATAATACAATACATAAGCATACATACATGTAATATTACTACATAACACGTCGTAAATACATACATACATACATAAATATATACATACATGTAATACTTAATATTATAATCATGCATGTACAGAGGGAGGAAGAAGGAGAGAGAGACCAAGCTCCCCGACCTCGGCCCGCGCCCTCCTCAAAAAGCACCTCGACAAACACGGCGCAGTGTGTGTTTTCGACTTTGAAGTCGATAAGTATATCAGTCCCGCGGCCCAGTGTGTTTGGCCCCGTGGAATTTCTACACCCGGGGCTACAATAATTATGTATAACTTTCACACGCTGTATTTCTCTGGACGTTCGTCTAGTCTCTCTCATCCGTCCCTCTCTCTCTTTGTCTTATATATAATTTTCTAACATGGTAGCAGGAGGAAGGGGGGGGGGGGGGGGGCGTGGAACCCACATACATGCAAATTTCAACGCTTTACATCCCACGATTCGCCAACATAACTTTATCTTTTCATCCGTGCTTACCCCGCATCACTCTGCAAATCCGCCCCACTCGCCCACCCCCACCCCCGCATCTCAACCAGCACGCAACTAACACGCGCAGCTGCGTACCGTCCCTCCCACTTTTATCAAGTTTAGTTACGACCCCTCTGTTCAATACATCATCACTTGTCAAGCACTCCTCATTCATCATGCCATCAAAAAAATTCAGTATCACTATCTTTGGGTAACTTTCCTTTTATCATAGCTCTGCACCTTCACGATCAAAGGAGGAGGTAGGGAGGAAAGGAGAAGGAAAAGGAGGAGAGGACGGAGGAGGACGAATGGGGTGGAAGAAGAAGGAAGAGGAAGAACGAAGGAGTTGGAAGAGGAAGGAAGGAGGAGGTAGGAAGGGAGAGGAGGAGGGAGGGGAGGAGGAGGAGGAGGAGGAGGAGGAAGGAGGAGAAGGAGGAGGGAGATGGTAGGATAAGGGGAGAAAACAGGGAGTAATGATAAAGGGGGAGGAGGAGGAGGAGATGGGAGCTGATGATTAAGGAGAAGAAGAAGAGAGGTGAGGAGAAGATAAAGACGGAGATTACAAAATGGAGGAAGCGGAATAAGCGCTAACAGAAGAAAGCACTTACTCTTACACACTCACGATTTCTCTTCCCACAATCAGTGACTCACGTCTACAACTTTTCCTTTCCAATCTCACTTTTTGCTCTCTTTGCTCACTTCCAATGACCGTCTATTCTGCCCCACTCCTC